CTCGTTGTAAGTGTTGCTGTAGGGGTCGTTGCGCCTAACATTATTGATGAAGTTCACCTGCTCCTGGGGTGTTTTCGATTCCTTCATCGCCTGGCAGTCTTCCACCATGTGATGGGTGCTCTCACACCACTGGCAGTGCATCGCCTGCGGCTGTCCTGTACCTGCAATCAAACCAGAACGATCGATAGCTGAAACCAGCTTTGATACCACCTGCACCAAATCAGATGACTGGGTGCCCACAGCATGCACACCCCGTCCTGGTGCTCGTCTCGATCTCCTGGCAGTTCCCCAATCATACCTGTTCTCCGCCATCTCCTCAAAGAGTTGATTCAGCTGTGGCGGTGTTTTGTTCAGCATGTTCTCGCCACAAACCGAGTCAATCAGCTGCTTGTCCTCCGGGAAGAGGGCGTGATAGAAGGTGCCCACCTTGAACGCATCATTGAAACCATGGTTTGGACACCTGAGGAAAAGACTGGTGTATCTCTCCCAAGCATCCCGGATGGTCTCATCCTCGTCCTGAGCAAAATGGGTAATTTGCTTCTACAGGTCAGCTGTCTTGGATGGAGGATGGTAGCGGGTGAGGAACTTGTCCGCCAGGTTGGCGAACGTGGTGATAGATCCCGGAGGTCGAGTGTCTAGCCACTCCTTGGCTTGCCCCTCCAGAGTAAATGGGAAGTACCTCAGCTGGATGGCATCTGCTGGGACCCCATTGATCTTGATTCCATCAATGAGCTCGTGGAATCGCCCGGGGGCACTCCCCCTCCTTGCCATGGAACATCACTTAACCGCGCAGCATGGTGATTACTGAGGTGCTCACCTCAAAATTATTGGCTAGGACATGAGGGTGTTGAATGGGTGACCTCATGTCTGCAGCCCTGGCGGTCCAGTAATGTCCCATGGTCTGCTCCTCGGGATTGACCACATCATGGCCCTGTGGATCAGCCATCTCCTCTTCTTCATTGATCTGTAGTTGTGCTAGCGCCTCCTCCGCAGCCAGTCGCCCCTTTAGAGCCCGCTTGAAGTTTCTGCAGGTTCGTTCAAGCTCCTGGTCTAGTGGTAGTAGATCTCCCGACTGGCTACGGGTCATGCACTACCTGCACACAATCAGCAGAAGCAACCCGTGAAGGCACACAAGTGGAAGAGATAAAATGCAGTAAATAAAGAGCTAGAGTAACAAATTCTCACGTTTCCCCAATAACCTAGAGGTTCCCCGGCAACGGCGCCAAAAACTTGATGCTCTAAAACACAACACCAAACTGCGACCAAGTATAATCGCAGTCCGGGAATGCAGAAAAGTGACAAGTTATATTATCAACCCGGGGTCTAGATCTACTGCTTACTCAGTGATTCTCTATTATCTAACCAACTAAGTTAAGTGTTTGTTGTGTAAAAGCAAAAGCAGAAAGAAAGCAGGAATTGATACGGTTTTCTCAAGCAGGTAAGAGTCACTCGGGAATGAGTCCCCCTAGCTCCTTAGTTAGGTTTCAATTGTATTTCCCTGGGTTGATTTACTGTTGATTAGACTGCGGAAGATCCGGCAGTAGCTTGGAATCTCTTAAGCTGACCAAGCCCTCTCAGTCTAACTACCCGGCAGACGACTAGTCTTCACCGGGATAGAAAGCTCAAGCAGTAAGAACAGAACTCCACTACTGGAATTGGATTCCAGTACAAAGTAGTGAACTGGCTAACTCTCGTATAGCCAATCTCCTACTACCGAATGATGAGACTCTAGCAACCTAATCAGATTCTATCTATCTCAGATTGCAGCAGGAATCAGGAAAAGTTTATCAGACTTCAATTGACTCAATAAACATGCATCATTTGATTAAAATCAAACAGTAATTTCATCCCAAGTCATTACAATCAATCCCTAACACATAGAACTAGGGTTCTTCATCCCCAAGTGAGAGAGGGGTTCTACTCCATAGAGAGAGAGAGGAAAACAAGATACAAAGCAGTCATACTCATAATTATGGGAAGAATCTGCTCTGGGATGATGATTTCCACTCCTATGACGATCTCCAAGCTTGATTTGATGAAACCCAGCTCCAAGATAGCTTCTAGGATGTGTTCTTCGTCCTTTCTCTCTCTAGGGCTCTGTTTTTGCTCAAAAAACCGAATGCCTCTTCCTTGGCTCGAATCTGCCTTCAAAAACCCGACTCTGGGCAGAATTACGGCCGTAATCACGGCCTGCCTGTAAATCGCCCAAAACGCGTGTTTCACTTTACTCTGATGGAAGAGGAGTTACGCCCGTAATTTCACAATTACCGCCAGTATTTCACTAATTACGGTCGTAATTTGGTGGATGCTTGCCCGTAATTTTAGTGCCGAGAAGAATTCTTGGGAAAAGAGGCTCGGCATTAGTTTTACGGGCATGCCCTGACCAATTACGGTTGTAATTTGGCAGGGGCTGCCCGTAATTTGTCCTGTGAATCACCACCTGACCTCCAAATGACCCGAAACTTGCGCCTATGCACCTCTTTACTTGCTAGGGCCTGAAATACGACAAAACAACACAACCTAGCGTAAAATAGGCCAAGGAACAATCAATTCAAGCTAAAATGGACAGGAAACCAGAGTGAAAACACGTGCAAATACGATGCTATCAATTTCTAAACGCGATTTATCGTTAGACTAATTCGAAGCTCGGTTTTTATTAGCGGTAACGTTGAGGGTTCGATCAACGAGGAGATCAACGTCCCGGGTCAGCCAATCTAGGCCTAGGCACGTTCTAGAGGTAAGGCAACTCGATCCCTTTGAGTTAGATCGATCGATTTGGTGTTTTTCTTGAGGGTGCAGTTCTGTGGTTTTAGCAACAGGCGACCAGGCTTTTAGTGACAGAGTTTGGGTGGTCACTAAAGCTCCTGGGAATTTTTAGAAGCATGTTTTAGATGGTTTAAATTATTTCGAATCTTTACGACGGTTTGTTTTCGAGTTTAAAAATTTTATTAATTGAGTCAAGTCTAGGAGATGGCTGTAAATTAATTTGGGAATCTTTGAGTATGCATTTCCAATTTTAGAAATTGTTCGAACATTTGTTTTAATTAAATGAAATTAATTCCGAGGAGTTTATAGGGTTTTGATAAATTTCCAGGGTATAAGTACTTATGATTGATGTAGGAAAATTATTACCCGAATTTTTGAGAAGGTTCAAATTAGGTGGAAAATTCGTCAAAGACTAAAATAATTAGGAAAAGTGGTCGGTTTTGAAGAGATTGTTTTTAGAAAAAATTTTAAAGTGGGTTAAGAGACCTTGAGAGTGAGCCTCGAGGGCTGGATGTTGAGGAGAGGATGTCCAAGTGACCCAAAAGGGAATGCTAAATCGACAAAGGTCGACTAAGGAAATGACTTTCTTATTAATAGGTTCACCGAGATAATTCGACTAGGAGGGATTTCTTCGAGTAAAGAATCGAGGAGTCAGCTTAATAAGGTAAGTGTAAAAGAGGTAAATTCTACGCCTTACGTGTTCTTTCAAGAATTACAAGTCTTGAGTATTTTGATGAAGTGAACGTCGTGGTTTGATTGTGCTTATGGTTGATGATATGTGATTTTGTTTGAGCTATGATTGATGTGAATGTGCATGAGTTCTTATTTAAATTTAAGCTTTAAGTTTATATGTTATTGTTGAAGTTAATAAACAAGTTCTTTTTAAGAAGTAACTCACCTTCAAGAAGGTGAAGTCGTTTTAAGTGTTTTTAGTCACTAGCGCCAGTCCGTTGCCGTTTGAGACAGTTTGAGATAGAGCAGCAGTTATGCTCTTGAGATTTTAAGATGGGCAGAAGTTATGCCCTTGAGAATCGTGGTGAAGAGCCACGATAAGTTTAAGATGTTAGGGGGATGAATCGTTACGACTTCCCTAACTAAGATAAGTTTAAGGAAAGCCTTGATGGCTTCTCATACGTATGAGTTGGCAACCGGACTAGCTAGTGAGGTATCCCAGTGTCAGTCAAAAGATTTAAGTCAAGTTTTTTTTAGCTTTAAGAAGGGAGAGTAACTTTAACTCCCGAAGAATTTTATGAGTTATAATTGTTAAGAGTGGAAGTACAAAACAACTTCCACTAGTAGAAGTTAAGTGTGCAGAGAAGAATACTAAAGTACTTTAGATTTTATCGTAAGGGTGTAGACTGACCCCAACTCACTCACCAGATCGTAGAGGAGGAAATCCTAACCAGCCAGTCCGTGATCAGCAAGCTAGGGGAGCTCAACACCATCACCGCTGAGAGATGTCGAGCCAGGCGTCAGAGTAAGCTTCGAAGAACTTTCCAAGTTATTAAGACTTTATGGTTAAGAGTTAAAGACTGGAGATTCATTTCTTTTGGATGATTTAAGTTTTGCCCACGTGTTTAGGGCTTCGATTTGAGATATTGAGATATTTGAGTTGGTATTTTATTTAAACTTGTGTTATTTGAGATTTTTAATCATACCCCGGGGTAGAAAGGTCTTTTTCCAAAGTTAAAGAGGTGGGATGTTTCAAAACCTTGAGGAACTGCCATGTAAACTTCTTCATCCAGATCGCCATGCAGAAATGCATTATTAACGTCGAGCTGATGAAGAAACCAATTCTGACTGACTGCAACAGCAATCAAACACCGCAATGTGACTAGTTTAGCAACGGGTGAGAAAGTGTCCTGGTAATCGATACCCTCCACTTGAGTGAAGCCCTTGGCAACTAGACGCGCCTTGTATCGATCAACGGTACCATCGGGTTTATATTTGACTTTATAAACCCATTTGCACTGAACAATACGCTTATTGTGTGGCGCATTGAGGAGAGACCAGGTGCCATTTGCCTCGAGTGCTGAAATCTCAGCTTGCATGGTGTCTCGCCAATTCTTGTATTTCACAGCCTGCCAAAAATGTGTGGGTTCGAAAACAGAAGAGACCTTTGCCACGTAAGCTTTGTAAGAAGAAGACAGTCGATCGTAGCTTACATGGTCATCTAAGGGATATCGAACTTGGGCATTATCAGCGCGTCGGCCGGGAAGCTCAACATCATAGTCTCAAAGGCGAAGTGGAGGTTGAGTGACCCTCGTGCTATGATGTGGTGCCGGCCGAGGAGAAGGCTGAGGTTCAGCTGGCGACAGTGTAGTAGTTTTAGCTCCCGATTCAGCAGTGGGGGTTGGGGAAGCCGCCGTTGACGTAGGAAGTGGGGCTCCCGACTCGGCAGTTGAGATGGGACTTGGAACAATAGTGGTAGGGGAGCTAGTGTCGATGGGGCTGCTCGTTGGCCCTCCAGTTGGTGTAGGGAAAGACGGTGTCTGCGGGTCGACATCATTATGTTCCATGGCGTCGAAATCAAGTGAAGCCGCCACCTCTTGCACCATGTGGACGAGGTCCTCGTCGCTATGGTCAGCAACATCAGCAAATGGCCATTTTGGACAAACAAGGCCTTTATTATTTGTGGACGAAGGATTGAGCTGCCTGAAGGGGAAGACTTCTTCCAAGAAGAATACATCACGTGATGTATATATGACCTGACGATCGATGTCAAAAACACGGTACCCACGCTGCGCCGCGGGATAGCCGACGAAGATACCAGGCTTTCCTCGTGCCGCGAACTTTGAGAGACCCGAACGAGTATCTTTGGCATAAACCAAACATCCAAACGTTCGAAGATGACTATACTATGGCGCTTCGCCAAGCAGAACCTCGTATGGCGCACGATTATTTAAGAAGGACAGAGGCATGCGATTTATTAGATATGCCGCCGTGAGAACACACTCACCCCAAAAATGTATCGATAACCTAGAATGAAAGCGCAAGGCTCTTGCAGTATCCAACAAGTGACGATGCTTTCGTTCGACGACACCATTTTGCTGAGGAGTATCGGTGCACGAAGTCTGCAAATCAATTCCTTCCTGTTTGTAATAATCACGCAATGCGGGGACAGTGAACTCACGACCATTATCACTCTGAATACGCTTGATCTTTGCCCCATATTGCGTCTTGACCTGGTTACAAAAGAGAAGGAGATAACGACACACCTCCGACTTTGTTTTGAGCAGCTATACCCAAATATGTCAACATGGATTAACTCAAAACACGACTTCGTCTTAATAGAACTCTCAACAAAAGGTAACCGAGTTTGCTTGGCTCTCAAGCAAGATAAACATGGTTCTTTGCTAGTGACCAAAGTACTTGAAATTGAAGACTGTAAAACAGAAAACTTTGCCGACGATGGATGTCCCAGCCTCGAGTGCCATAACTGAGAATCCTTCAACGCTTGTTGTGCCGTGAAAGCCACCGGATGCTGCCCATCAAGTACACCCAAGTAATAAAGACCGTCCACGTGCCTACCCATCCCAATCATCTTCTTGGAGCGTAAGTCCTGGATGACACAGAAATTACTTAGAAAAATCACAGCAACTGGATGATCTGCTGTGAGACGACTGACTGATAACAGATTGCACTGGAATTCGGGCACATGTAAAACACGACGTAGGGTTAATCCATTATTAAGCTTGGAAAACCCAACTCCACGAACCGGTATTCCCTTACCATTGGGAATCCTCACCTGCAAACTCGAGTTGGTCTCCAACTCGCCATCAAAAAATAACTTATCTTTAGCAATATGTTCACTGCATCCAGAATCAATTACCCATGTACCAGAAGGGTGTGAGTCGAACGTACCTGACATATTCGCTTTAGGTTGAGTATTTGAGCTCGGTGGACCAGCACTGAGGAAGGCCTTGAGCTGCTCGACCTGCTCCGCTGAAAAGCCAGGTACACTTAGCTGTGACAACTCAACAGCCGCGGCCTGTGGATCCTGGCGAGACTGGCATTGCTGTTGGTTTCGACGGCGCGACCTATCTCCCTTCTCCGCAGATTTGGGAGGCCACCCAATTATATCGTAGCACGTCTCGCGATAGTGGCCAACTTTCCCGCAATGCGAGCACTTTGGACAGCCATCATTGGTCCGATCCTCAGAAGCCGAACGCTCCCCCTGTCCTTGGAAGGCCGCAGCATCCACGCGTGGTCTTTGATAATTTTTTATGTTTCTTTGTTGTTCATCGTTTGCCACGGCGTGATACGCTTCTCCAAGACTCGGCGGCGGCTTCAAAGACAGAAGGTGAGTTCTAACAATGGAATAATTTTCATCAAGGCCAACCAAGAAGTCCAGCAACCTCATGGCTTCGTGTGACTCCCTAGTTCGCTGCTCGACGTTGCACGAACAATTTCCACACGTGCACTTTGCTGATGGATCCAGCATCAACCAGTCATCCCAGAGTCGTTTGAGCTTAGCATAGAAGGTCGACACACTGCTGCGATCCTGCCGAAGAGCCATAATCTCTCAATGGATCTTGTAGCGCCTTGGTAGGTTGCCTATGCTGAAGCATTCTAGGAGCTCATCCCAGATTTGCTTCGCTGTAAAGCTGGTGCTAAGACTGCTCCGTATTTCCCTTGACATGCCTTGCCGCAACCAGCCTACAACCATGGCATTGCATCGCGTCCAGGCATTGAGAAGCTCTCCACTCTCCGGCTTCTCGATGGTTCCAAGAACAAACCCTAATTTGTTCTTGGCGAGCAGAGCATTAGATCCCTAGCTACACTAGTGCGACTATCGTACCACTTAACCCATGTATTTTAAATTAATGTTGCATACTTGCATATAACAGGAGATGTGATTGCCTGATCAGGGTGCTCTCCTAAGTAAACCTATTTAAGACCTACATTTTTAAAACTAAAAGACACAGGACTTGATTTGTTTCACTTCATATCCAAGAGGAGTAGGATTCAACCAAAAGTTAGAAATAACTATCAACGTCCTATTTCCTTCTTAGTCCTGATCCAGAAAGTACCAATATGATTTCCCCACTTATAAGAAATCAATTAGGACAACTGTAGAAGTGTCAATTATGGGAAAGAATAGAAATAGTGAACAATAGAAGTCAAGGCAACCAGACTAAACTAAAATAACTCACCACTACTTTTGCTCTGGTTATGGACTTTTGTCTGCGACTGCGACCGATCTTTTTGTTCACTTATGTGTTGTTGTGCTCTCTGTTGCGTACCCAATCATAACAAAATACAAGGAATTGGATGTGTAAGGGCGTAGGGGAATTGGATGCGTACCCAATCTGAAGTACAACTATAACATGGATGTTAATCTACATGTATGCATTAGTATCTTTAGTGAATTCTGTCTTGCAATCCCTAGTTTGATTCGCTTGATGTCCAGTATTTCTATACTGATTTTTCAACTCCATTCACTTATTGTTCAGTGTTTCAACATTTTATAAACTTGTGGGGATCGTTTGGTTTCAACTACATGGACAGGGTGGTTAGGACTTAGAAGTTAGGACTTAGAAGTTCATTGTTAGGCTTGTTGTGAGCTGTAGCATTTTCGTTAGTGAGGGTTTCTCAATTATGGGAAAAGAGATAGAATTATTGGTAGTGGTTCTTTCCCAATACAATTGTCAAGAGTGCCAACTATGTGCAAACCCTCTCAAATTAAAAACCTGCATCCAGATCACCCCTAGATGAAATTTCAGCAGTCATGTTATTGTGTTTGTTGTTTGAATGATTATGCAATTCTTTTGTTTTTTCGTTTCTTTTTTCCAGAAGCAATGGACGCCAGGGCTAGAAGAAGCAAAATTTGGGAGAATTTCACTCAAGTTGAATCAGAGGGGGAGGTCAAGCTTCAATGCAACCATTGCATGAAGGTTTTTGGATGCTATCCTAATAAGAATGGGACAGTTTCACTGTGGAGGCATCTTAAGATGTGCAGTAAGAGAAATCTTCAAGATTAATGGAGCCTTATGTACTTTTCTGTATTTCATTCTATTATATTTGCTTAAACATCATGTAATGGTCTTAACTATCAAGACTCAAGAGATTGTTTGATAGGTTTATGATCAAACAAGTTATCAGCTTTTTAATTTCTTATATTGGTTCTGTAACCTTAATGAATCATCTGCAAAATCAAACTTGTTTATGATATATTCAAGCAAAATCTAGTCACTCATTTGTGTAATAATGTATCTTCATCTTTTTTTCATTGCAATATGGTGATCGGTGAGTTTGTTTTAAATTAGTGTAGTAACTAATTATAAAATAAAACTCGATGGTTTGGACCGAACAACCCGCAACCCGACCTGTTGTAAACCGCAATCCGATCAACCCGAACCCGATTGAACCGCAACCCGATCAACCCGTAACCCGATCGATCCGCAACCCGATCACCCCGCAACCCGATCAACCCGCAACCCAATCAACCCGAACCCACTTGACCCGCAATCCGCTTGACCCGCAACCCAATTGACCCGCAACCCGACTGAACCCGACCCGAACCCGCCCGATTGACACCTATAAACACAACCCAAACATCATGAAAATACCTCAAACTTTGCCTTAAACACAAACCCACACACAAAGCATTCAATTAATACAATCTATCAAATATATCAAGCTAGGGTTCACAACACTCAAGTGAATAGATAGGCTATTCCATAGCTAGGCAAAGGAAAACAAGAAAAAGGAGAGAAAGAACCATGAAGAGATGACAATCTTCCTTCCTCCTTGCTTGAATCTCCCTTGAGAGGTAAGAATCTTTACTCCTCTAGCTAAGGGCAAGCCCAATCTCCTTCTTCCTCCTTTGAATTGCACTTTTCTCTCTAAAATGGGAAGAGGAAACCCTAATCTCTCACTAGAAAACCCCTTTTTATTCTGAAAATTAAAACACTAGAAAAAGCTCTCCTACTTCCTCCTTTCAGCTCTCTATTTATACCCAGTCGCGCCCAGTTCACGGTCCCAGTTCACGGTCGTGAACATCAGGCCGGGACCATGAACACAGTTCAAAACGCACCGCTTCACTTATGTAGTGAACTGCCTCGACGTCAGTAACCTCAGAAACTCCTCTGGACGCTCTGTGATTCACAACTTGTGGTTCCAGTTCACGATCTTGGCGACCATGAACTCACTGCTTGGATCATGAAATGCGGCTACTTTCTTGGATTTTTCTTCGATTTTTGCGCTTTTTGACCTCCAATCGTCTCGAAACTCATCCTCGACCCTTCCACACGTGCTAGGACCTAGAATGTATCAAAACAAGCACAATCTAGCGTGAAATATGTCGAGGGACGATGAAATGCAAAGCCATACTATCAAGAAATGAGGGTTAAAATGTGTACAATTTTACCCGAATCAAATATAATATGATTTTTTTCTTGATTCCATAAAATTTATATAAATACTGGAACAAATAATTATTGAATTGACATTTGACCGGACCAAACGAGACCAAATGTAATGAACTCGTCCCAACTGCTCCAGTGCACATCTCACGGATTTCTTTTAATTCAGACGATTGGATGTTTTGGGCAGACTGCTTACTTCATCCAATTCGAGTTGTTAACTATTCAACCCATTGTCCGGCCGGCCCAGAGTGGGAGCGAGAGTGACAGTATTGAAAGCATCTATTATAAAAGAATTGAACATTAAGAGTGTGAATAGAGCGCTATTATTATGTTATTTTATTTAAATTTTTTGGTTAATACCCTAGCTTGACACGAACTTTAGCGTTAGTGTCAGTTTTGGCCCAATTTTCAAATAAGACATTTATGACCCACTTTTAAAATTATTGGACAAATTTGGCCTATGAAATGAATTGAAATATTTTTTCGTCAGTGACTCAAGATCAAAATGCTGAGGTGGATCCGAAGTGCCTGCCACATCATTTATTTAGGTTAAAAAATTCAAAAATAAAAAACTTAAAATAAAAAAAACAAAACAAAACCAAAATATACTTTCCAATTTCCTCTCTAACTCCCTCTCCCACGACCCAATTCATTACCCTCTCCACCGAATCGGAATTCCTAAAATTTTCATCATCGCAACCCCATCCTCGTAACCATTCCCATCTTCGGCTACCTCCCCTTCATCTCCCCTATCGATCTTCTTGTCAGTCCTCTTCTGCTGCTTCTCCATCGAGGTCCCATCCACAAGATCTGAAGCGGTTGCTCTTTGCCTGTCCCTATCCCGCTCCTCGACAGGCTCGTGATGGTGCCTCTTCCGCGTAGGTGAAGGCGACGGGGAGCGCTGGTGGCGGTGGTGGTGCGGCGGTGTGGCGCGTGTGAATCTGGCGAGCGCGAGTTATGCCAATGGTCGTCTCTTCCTGGAAGAAGCAGTTGTCAAAGGTCGTCTCTCCAAAAGATTTCCCAGAACTGAAATTTTGGGTTTGGGTTCTTTGATTTTCAAAACTGATTTTCGTCAATGGTCGTCTCTCCCTGGAAGAAGCAAATGTCGAAAAACACAATCCCGTTGTGAAAATCGCAATGATTCAGATCCCCCGACCCAGATCCGAAGTAGAGTGAAAGAGGAAAAAGGTGTTGTGGCTTGACTCTTGGTGACAAGGGTCACCAATGACGGAAGGACGTCATCTAGTGATGGCGACGACGAGAGACAGCTGGGTATTATAGGACGGGAAAAGAAATTGGGGGAAGGATTCGCGATGGTGGAGGTGCAAGATAGGGAAGGGTTTCGTTCGACCATCCTTTTTCTATTTTTTTTATTTTTTGTTTTTTAGTTCTTAAATGATGTGGATGTCCTAGTTAGTCGTGGATGCTGAGTCACTTACAAAGAAAATGGTTGACCGTCAATTTTGACGGTCAATTCAAAATGCGGTCCAAATTTGTCCAATAATTTCAAAAGTGGGCCATAAATGTCTTATCTGGAAAATGTTACCAGAATTGACACGCTAAACTTGGGGCCAAACTAGGGTATTAACCCTAATTTTAATATTAATTAGTTTCAAATTATTACGTAATTGATTTGTTAACATTGAAACGATCCCCTAAAGAAAACGAGAAACTGAAGAAAACAAAACGTACACAACAACCCCTCATTTCCCTAGATACTTTCTTCACCAGATTATCCAGTTTACCAATTGAACGACTAACACGTAGTCGCCGCGACCTGATAATCTTCGCCGGCCATTAGCTCCGACTCCCGTTTCGTCAATGGAAGAGTACCGCTGAGCAAATGATTGGGAGTAGCCCAATTCATCAAGCAAACCATGCCTTCAAATGAACTCATATAGATGGTTTCAGAACAAAGAACGGGGGAGTTAGAGAATGCTGAGCAACTGGGAGGGCTGGCTCCACTCCTGTCAATCTCCAACTGACGAAGATATGGAGTTATCCAGGTAACTCTCAGTCTCTTAGTTTCAATTCTGCTTTGGTCGCTCCTTTCATTTCATAGAATTATCAGTAATGTCAATTAGTCAACTGTTCGTTCTGCTTCTACATTCATTAGATCTGGATCTCTGGTTTTAGAAATCGAGCCCAT